GTTTAAAATGAATACCTTAATGAACCCATGATTCTTGATTAGAGCAATAGGCCAGGCATGGGGAATCAAATAACTTGCATCAAGAAGATGTTTAGGCATGGGAAATGAAGGGTATGGGCAGACCTGGGGGCTGTGAAATTCTAGGCAGACCTTAGGGGTTCTCTTTCAGATTATAAATAGAGCTATTTTTAGCTAAGAAAGGGCTGGACATTTTTTAGTCTTCAGAGGAAAAACAGAAAGAAAATTCAGAACACTGTAAATAAACACTGTCTGAAAACTACATAAGAAATTAAGTTGGTCAGGCTGTCTTGGCCAAGTCAGTTACTCTAATTGGGCTGTTATTTAGGATATTCTGATTTTCTTTGCGGGATTACTACTATTCTGGACATCTATATGTTGTTAGCTGGTTCTGGTTTTAGTTCCATTTGAGGTTGTTGTTGGTTATTTGCCGAGTTTTTGTGACTATTGAACTGTTCTTGCTATTGCATTGAATATTTTGGTTTTCTCGGCTGTTTTACTACTCTGTTTCTGGGATTGCTTGTTAGGTGCTCGACCACCTGTGGGTTTTATCATTGTTGAAATTGCTGTTGGTTGTTTGTGGACTATTGGTGACATTGTTGCTGGTTGTTGTTGTTGTCTGGTTGCCTGCTGTTGATACTTTTCTTCTTCTCCTTCTTATTGTCCAAACATCCAGGTACACATTCTAAATTCACTGACGTAATGATGAGTTTGGAGCTGAATAAGAGCATAAGAAGTATTGCAGTCCAAACATTAGCATAGTTACCGTTATTCTGCTGTTTGTAGTTTAGAATATTTGTGTGTTTAACATGTAAAGTTTGGTTTTCAAACTATGTAATGAAACAGTTTTCAGTCCATAAGAAGTTTGGTCTGGTAATCTATCGTTGTATGTAAATCAGAAAGAAGCTAGTTGGATAGTAATGATACTCGGCCAACAATGGTTTCACATAGGGTCTGTTGAAACGAATGCAGTAATCACATTGGCTTCACCTTAATTCATCAGTAGGTAATGAATATTTCGAAGACATACTAGGCAATCTGGGTTATAGCAAAAAGAAAAAATCGTGTAGTTAAACATATAGCAATATCATACTAAGTTAGATATGTTCGGTTTCAGTTGTTTCGTTCTTTTTTTAGTGTCAAGTATGTAAGGAATCATTAACTGAACCTCATGTGTATGCCCGTCAATAAATAAGGTCGCATACGTCTAATTTCTTCATCCAAAAAAAAATAATCTGCTTCGATATTATTGTGCGTCAATCTCATGTTTCAGTTTTGTTAAATAATAGAATATAGAATGAAAGCAATCCCTCTTTGTACAAACTCTGCTGCAATTTCTCATTTGTGTCAGCCGTAAACTAATAACTAATAAGTTACACCTTTTCAGCATGTAATTAATCGAGGTATTTTCTTTTGTTTTTAGAGACAAACTTAATAGAAAAAATATAGTTACTGTAGGTTTATCCTCAAAAATAAAAATGGGATGAGCCTCGCCGAAAAATATAAAAATCGCGGGGCCCTCAGTAAATATTTGTTTTAAAATTGCTTAGACTTCGGGATGGACCGTTTAGCAAAATTCCACGGCCTTCCCAAAATAATGATACGCTAGTCACTTTAGGCGCGTATTTAATAATGTTATCTCCTTAAACTCGGGTGCACATTTATGTGACCCAAATCCAAATCTCAACGGAATCAAAATGTGTCTCTAATCACAGGTACATTGATTGTGACATGGTCTGAGATGCATTTCCATGACGTAGCAAATTCTATTTTTAAAAAATAATGAAAGAGACGAGCCTCGACAAACAAAAAGGCACAAGCTGTGGGGCCCTCTAAATATATATATCAAAATACTTAGAATTCGGGACAGGCCGTTTTAGCAAATTTTACGGCCTTTCCCAAAATAACAATACGCTAGTTGCTTTAGGCGCGCCTTTAATAATTTATTTTCCTTAACTCGGGTGCACATTTATGTGACCCAAATCCAAATCTCAACCGAGTCGAGATATGTCAACGACCACGGGTGCATTGATGTAACGTGGTTCGAGATATGTTTTCACGACGTTGCAATTCTCGTAAAATATAATAATAAAAGCGGTCAAGAGTTAAAATTTGCACATAAGTTCATATTTGTATAAAATCAGATAATCAAGCCGAATATGACAGTTGAGCGACCGTGCTAGAACCACGGAACTCGGGAATGCCTAACACCTTCTCCCGGGTTAACAGAATTCCTTATCCGGATTTCTGGTGCGCAGACTGTAATATGGAGTCATTCTTTTCCTCGATTCGGGATTAAATTGGTGACTTGGGACACCCCTAAATNACAGAATTCCTTATCCGGATTTCTGGTGCTTAGACTGTAATATGGAGTCATTCTTTTCCTCGATTCGGGATTAAATTGGTGACTTGGGACACCCTAAATCTCCCAAGTGGCGACTCTGAAATAAACAACAAATCCCGTTTCGATTGTCCTTTAATTGGAAAAAACTCCCTTGTACCCTCGCGGGTATGTAAAAAGGAGGTGTGACAATTATGAAACAGATTCACAAATATGAAAGGGCATCGGGCTAGAAGCTCAATGCAAACAAAAGCTTCTTTATAGCTGCTCCAAATACCAAAGCTAGGAGAATCAACAGAATTAGAGAAGTTACTACGTTCATGGATAAACAGTTTCTTATCAATTATCTAGGATGCCCTATCTACATTGGAAGGAAGAAGATTTGTTACTTTGAAGAGATGTTCTCTAAAATTGTTAAAAGAATCAGTGGTTGGCAAGGAAGATTGTTATCATACGGAGGTAAAGTGGTTATTATCAAGAATGTGTTACAATCCCTCCCCTTATACACCCTCTCAGTCATGAACCCTCCAAAAGCTACGCTCAAACTGATTGAAAAGCAATTTGCAAGATTCCTTTGGGGTTCCATTGATAACAAAAATAAATTTCATTGGAGCTCTTGGAAAAACCTTTGTGTACCTAAGGAGTAGGGTGTAATCAAAATTAGAAGAATGGAAGACATCAATGAAATTTGCAATATTAAGAGATGATGGAGGTTCAGAACTTGGCCCTCATTATGGGCAGACTACCTAAGAGCTAAATACTATAGTAGGTCTTATCCTGTTAAAAAGGCTATCGGTCCTGGCAACTCCCACTCCTGGAAAGCTCTTCTTCATGGGAGAGACATTGCTGGACAAAATATCATTTGGAAGATTAACACAGGCAGCTGCAGTTTCTGGTGGGACAATTGGACAGGTAAAGGACCACTTGCAAAAGTGGTAAATCATACTAACATTTCTGGTAAGCTTTCTATTTCTCATTTTTTCAGGAACGAGGAGTGGAATACGAACAAATTGGAGCAACTCCTGCCCATCCATATTGTTCAACATATCAATACCATCCCTAGAGGGAAGCAGAACAATAATGACCAGGCAATTTGGAACCTCACTGAGAATGGGCACTACTCTAATGCATCAACCTGGCACATTGTTAGAATTATCAACCAGAAAAATCTTCTTCTGAGCAAAGTATGGCATGATTGTATACCCTTCAAAATGTCCTTCATAGTTTGAATAATGATACAAAAAAAGCTCCCCTTTGATGACACCATTAAGAAATTTGACAATCAACAGGCATCGAGGTGCAATTATTGTAGCAACCCACAATCAGAAAGTTTGTATCATGTTTTCATTGATAGTGAGGCCGCGAGAAATTTATGGGAATTATTTGGAAATCCTCTAGGTGTTCGACATCAAACTACTTCCAATAGTAGTGTTCTCACTCAATGGTGGCAGAGGAAACCAAAGAATATAATCCATGAAATGATCCTTCACATTATTCATCTCACTATCTCTTGGGAGCTATGGAGAAACTATACATCTTGCAAGTTTGGAGAAAGTAAGAAATTTGTGCTGTACAAAAGGATGTCTCAAATCATTTGGAATATTAATTCTGCAATCAACAAGAAATACCCCACTATTAAGACCCATTATCACTGGCACAAAAATTATGAGATCATTAAACATCTTAAACCTGTCCCTATTTGGAAGAGTGTGGTATGGGAGATGCCTCCCAGGGAGTACCTAAAGCTGAATACTGATGGAAGTTTTAACAAACAAATTGGGAAAGCAGGGATTGGAGGGATTCTCAGAGATGAAGAGGGAGGCTTTGTCATGGCTTTTTCGATGCCTATAATCTATAATAACATCAGTGAAGCAGAATTGAAAGCCATCAAGTATGGGTGTGAATGGTGCAAATACAAAGGAATATCAAACTTCATTGTGGAAACTGACTCGAGGATGATCTATGACATACTACAGACCAAAAATCTAAGCAACAACAAGTTGAAACAAGAGACCGAGAAATTAATGGAGATTCTGGACACCTGCAGGACACCTGTTACCCATTGCCTTCGCGAAGCAAATCAAGTGGCAGACTGGTTTGCTAAAGAGGCCACCAGAGCTAACGAAGGTATCACTCATACAGATTTTAGACAGGTATCAAAAGCGGCCAAGGGCCCTTTCTTCATGGATATGTGGCAGGTCCCTTATTTTAGAATTAGATATGAAAAATCTAATTTTTTTTTGTAAGTTAATTCTGTGTATAGTGAGAGGAAATCGTCTAATATGTATTTTTGCCCATAGACTCTTCCTCTCCTTAGGTAAAAAGGTAGCTCCGAGGTAAGGTTTATGTTCCCCTCAGTGTAACCTTTTTTTGTTTATATAATAGACATGGTATGGGTCCAGCTAAACCCCCAACACCACAGGGGATAGATACCTGGGTGATTGGTTTATTTTTTAAAAAAAAAAACTTTACTAATAATTGCACGGAGACAAAACTTATATTTTAGTTCCAAAATGACAGTCCAACCATGCACGTTGTAATGATTTTTTAACTCTATTATATCGAGTTCCGCCCTCCACTCCTCGGTGTCCAAATTGTATTTAAATGCATAGATATGTTTATTGGGAGTGTACATCAAGCTTTCAGAAAATACAAACCATAATACTTTCTCTTCTCCAATTTGCTTAGTTTAATTTGGAAAATGGAAGTCATATCTACCAACACAAATGGCTCTACTATCTTCAAGAATGGTGCCATTCCCATGAACGGTTACCAGAATGGCACTTCCAAACACCAAAACGGCCACCAGAATGGCACTTCCGAACATCGGAACGGCCACCAGAATGGCACTTCCAAACACCAAAACGGCCACCAGAATGGCACTTCCGAACATCGGAACGGCCACCAGAATGGGATTTCCGAACACCAAAACGGCCACCAGAATGGCACTTCCGAGCATCAGAACGGCCATCAGAATGGGACAATCAGCCATGACAACGGCAACGAGCTACAGCTACTGGGAAGCTCCAACTCTATTAAGCCTGGTTGGTTTTCAGAGTTTAGCGCATTATGGCCAGGTTAGTACTAAGAAAGAAACTCAAATGCATCGTACTCTTGTATTCTGCTTTGCGTATAATTTAGATGATGGTGTTTGACTAAGCACTGAGTTTAAAAATAAAAAGTTTAAAGTTAAATTGTTACTATAGAGAGCTATATCTTTAGGAACTAACTAAAAAGGAAAAATTATCACATAAAATTGGGATGAAGTAAGCAGTTAACTTCGCATATTATTCGACACATTAATTTGAAATAAATCGAATTTTGCAGGTGAAGCATTCTCACTTAAGGTTGAGAAGTTACTATTCCAGGGGAAGTCTGATTACCAAGATGTCATGCTCTTTGAGGTAATTAATTAATACTAATAGTCAAGCTCATGTATGATTATATTTAAAGTGGTATTTTTCGTTTATTTTTAATTTATTGCACGTGTACGTACAGTCAGCAACATATGGGAAGGTTCTGACTTTGGATGGAGCAATTCAACACACAGAGAATGGTGGATTTCCATACACTGAAATGATTGTTCATCTTCCACTTGGTTCCATCCCAAACCCTAAAAAGGTTTTGATCATCGGCGGAGGAATTGGTTTTACATTATTCGAAATGCTTCGTTATCCTACAATCGAAAAAATTGACATTGTTGAGATCGATGACGTGGTAGTTGATGTAAGTCAAACTTCTTTTACTCACATAAAAAAATGATTTAGATTCTTATTTTTCTAAAAGAATTAAAACAAAATTTTCCGTTTTACAGGTATCTAGAAAATTTTTCCCTTATCTTGCTGCTAATTTTAGCGATCCTCGTGTAACCCTAGTCCTTGGAGATGGTGCGTATTTGATAATCTCGTTTTTATTTTATCTTTTACTTTTATTTTATTTAATTTTTACCTTTTTGTGTGTGGTTAATTCACCTGCCATTGGTTCTTTTTATTTCAGGGGCTGCATTTGTAAAGGCCGCACAAGCAGGATATTATGATGCTATTATAGTGGACTCTTCTGATCCCATTGGTACTCTATTACTACTTAATACCAAGACTATTCTTATTAAATAAGCTACTAATAAACGTAACTCTGATAGTTTTCTAAAATAATATAATTTCAGGTCCAGCAAAAGACTTGTTTGAGAGGCCATTCTTTGAGGCAGTAGCCAAAGCCCTAAGGCCAGGAGGAGTTGTATGCACACAGGCTGAAAGCATTTGGCTTCATATGCATATTATTAAGCAAATCATTGCTAACTGTCGTCAAGTCTTTAAGGGCTCTGTCAACTATGCTTGGACTACTGTTCCAACATATCCAACGTATTTTTCTCTCTCTCTTCCTATAAAATTGGAAGTTTTGATTCTATAATTGTCAAGAAATGGAGAATCAGTTCCAAGAAAAACCAAATTCTTTTCTTTTACTCTTCAAGGTGTGTTTAAGTTTTTTAAACTGATACTGATCAATTATTTTGATTTCAGCGGTGTGATTGGTTATATGCTCTGTTCTACTGAAGGACCAGAAGTTGACTTCAAGAATCCAGTAAATCCAATTGACAAAGAGACAACTCAAGTCAAGTCCAAATTAGCACCTCTCAAGTTCTACAACTCTGATGTAACTTCATATCTCAATTTCTTTTTTCTTATTGTACTTTATGTTCTTAGTCAAATTTTATAATTAACTCTTTTCAAATTGTCTTTTTTTTTCAGATTCACAAAGCAGCATTCATTTTGCCATCTTTCGCCAGAAGTATGATCGAGTCTTAATCAAGTGACTAATGAATACTGGCGGTACAATCATTGGACCAAGATCGAGTCTTAATCAAGTGAATAAATAAGTGAAATGCGACGTATTGTATAAGAATTCTGCAGTAGTTAATTATCATAATTTCCAATTCACCAATTACTGTAAAATTCTTTCTCTGTGGTGTTTGGTACTTTACTATAAATTTTCCCGCTTAAGTTTTGAATCGACGTTTCAACTCAGTCCTCGCAAATCACTTCATTACCCTTCTTTCGGTATACTAAAGTAAACTGTTGCAGAATATCGTGGGTTAACTAGAACACAATCACACACATAGCAAATAGAGAAGAAAAATCAACACAAGAATTTATTAACGAGGTTCGGCTAAGCCTAATCCTCCGGGCAAAAGCAGAGAGAGTTTTTCACTATGAATGAGAAGTAAAACACAATACAATCTATAGAATTTCCAACTACAACCCCTATATATAGATTTCAAAAGGTCCCAAACATATATGAGAAAGGTTTCCCAATTTGACAAGGATTATAGGTTTTCTTTTCCAAAATCTATTAGGGTAATGGGTTTTCCTAAACCTATGAGGACTATGGGTTTCCTAAAAATACAAGGAAATAATTTAAACCAAAAATAACAAATCTTCCCCTTGGTTTGAATTCTCTTCATTAACAGGAACAACAGCTCTCTACCTTTCCCTCAGCCCTCGCAATGGCTCTATTGATTGCCGCACTCATCAACCAAGTCTACGCAACGCCTAAACTTGTTAAGAGACTTAATCTCTTCAGCCATAGCACTAATTTGTCGATTTGGTTCTGTACCCGAAATAGCTTTTGGATAACTATAACACTCAAATGCATCAGTGGTCTCTGCAACTACCAAAGCAAATCCCACAAGATTCGTATATCCAAGAAGATTTCCATCAACTACATTTGCAAACCTTTGCGGTCGGTTGATCACTCTCTCTCTCTCTGCATGTTGCAATGCTATATGGTTGTTGTTGTGCATGTGCATCAACATTATCGTCTTGATCAATATTTTGCACCTCCTCCACTTCCTCTACTTTAGAACTACTGGGTTGAGCTAGTGGAGATTCAATTTCTAGCTCTATGCGATCACTAACACCACGATCTATTTCTGCTATTGTCGTCTCCCTCTGTCTGTCATGTGAGGAAGATTCATTGAATGCTACATCCCTACTAATAATTAGCCCTAGAGTCTTTTGATCTGTGCACCACAACTTGTAACCTTTCGCTCCAGTTGCATACCCTAGAAATATGCACTTCTTTGCCCTTGGCTAAAGTTTTCGATCCCTCACATGAGCATAAGCAGGACAACCAAATATCCTTAAATTTGAATAATCAGCAGGCGAACCGGACCATACCTCAAAAGGAGTTTTGAACTCAATAGTTGTGGATGGAGATCTATTGACCAAATAACAAGCTGTATTGATTGCTTCAGCCCAAAAATCTTTGCTAACTCATAAATGTGAAAGCATGTTTCATGCCCTATCACAAAGCATTCTATTCATGTGTTCTACAACACTATTTTGCTGTGGTGTTCAGACACAAGTGCGGTGTCTCACTAGCCCTCTCTGCTGCAGAAATTATCGAACTCAGAATTGCAAAATTCCAACCCATTGTCAGTTCAAAGACGCTTAATCTTTCTTTTCGTCTGCCTCTCAACCATCGTCTTCTATTTAACAAATGTCGAAAATGCCTCATCTTTTGTGTTCAGAAAATACACTCATACCATCCTTGAGTAATCATCAATCAAATTCATAAAATACCTGGCACCACTCTTGGAGGGAACTTTGTTTGGACCTCACAAGTCAGAGTGTATATAATCTAACTTGTCTCTGGTGTTGTGCTCGGCCTTCTCGATGAACTTTACCCTTGTCCGTTTACCAAACACGCAATGCTCACAAAAATTCAAAACTTGATTTTTGTACCCATCAAATTATGCTTACTCAACAAAGACAATCCATTATCACTCATATTGCCAAGTCGCAAGTGCCACAACTAAAACTCATTCAGATCACTTTTCCCGGAAGCTATAGCAGTTTCCCCTTCAACTACACTAACCTGAAGATGATACAATTTAGAATATAGTTTACCCTTCATGAGTACCATGGAGCCTTTATACACTTTAAGTATTCCATTCTCGGAGTGAAATTTATACCCTTGATCATCCAAAGTTGAAAGAGAAATCAAATTTCTCTTTATCCAAGGAACATGCCAACACTCAATGTTTCTGATAATTCCGTAGAACATTCTCAATTTGATGTTACTAACCCTCTCTACTGGTAATGGATTATCATCTCCTATATAGATAGTCCCACTCATTTGTTTGTAAGTTGCAAAACAATTCTTATGAGGACACATGTGGAAAGTAGCACCAGAATCGAGAACCCAAGAATTTTGCCCATGACTAGAACTCACAGCACAAACTTCCCCTACATAGTCACTATTATCAGAATTATTGCCAGTGTCCATAATATTTGCTGAATTATCTATTTTCTGCTTCCCTCTTTTCTCTTTCAGCTTAGTACAATCTCTCTTGTGGTGACCTTACTCCCCGCACTCATAACAGTGTTGCTTCCTTACTCTAGACTTTGATCTTACGGTTGACTTTTTCCTATTAAAGTCCTTTTGTTGTGTTCTTCCTTTAATCACAAGACCTTCGCCCTCAATTCTGTTGTCCGGAAAGCTCTTTTTCAACTCTTTAAATTTTAGTGCATTACTAACATCTTCTAGTGAAATGCTGTCTTTCCCAAGCAATGTATCAGCAAAAGTATCATAAGACAGTGGTAAAGAACATAACACCATCAAGGCCTGATCCTCACTCTCAATTTTGATATCTACATTCTTCAGGTCCATTATAATTGAATTAAACTCATCAAGGTGAGTTTTAATAGGTGTACCTTCATTCATACGAAGATTGTATAACCTTTTTTTCAGGTAGAGATAGTTTGTCAGCGATTTCTTAGAATACAAATCTTCCAGCTTCTTCCATGTCGTTACTGCAGAAGTTTCTTCAGTAAGTTCCCGAATAACGTTATCTATAACGCTCATGAAGATCGCACTCAAAGTCCTCTCCTTCAGGTTTTCCTTCTTTGTCTCTTTCATATCTTCAGGAAAATCCTTATCAATTGCTTTCAATAATCCTTGTAACACCGGGGATGATTTTATCCTAATCTTCCATAGACTGAAACTAGAACCTCCGTCAAATTTCTACACTTCGTACTTTGTTGAAGATGATAAAGACATCTTAACCCTAGATTATATGTAGAAATCCGAACCTTCCTTTGATACCAATTGTTGCGGAATATCGTGGGTTAACTATCACACAATCACACACAAAACAAATAGAGAAGAAAAATCAACACAAGGATTTAACGAGGTTCGGCTAAGCCTAATCCTCGGGGAAAACGTATAGAGAGTTTTCCAATATGAATGAGAAGAAAAGCACAATACAATCTATAGAATCCCCAACTACAACCCCTATATATAGATCCCAAAAGGTCCCAAACATATAAGAGAAAGGTTTTCCAATTTAACAAGTACTATAAGTTTTCCTTTCCCAAACCTATTAGGGCAATGAGTTTTCCTAAACCTATAGGGACTATGGGTTTCCTAAAAATACAAGGAAATAATTCAAGCCACAAATAACATAAACAAATCTCATAGTTACCATGGTGTTGTACTTTTTTGACTATGGGATTTTATATCTTTAATAACGTTTTGGTCTATGTTTTGGAATTTAACTTACTCTGTATCTAATTCGGTTGGACTCTCTTTTTGATAAATAGTGTCATTGTCGTTGCAGTTTGTTTTCTCAGTAATATTTTATCAGCAGTTTCCATTTGTTTGCTCATTTTTTAGAAGTATGACAATTGAAATGTGTCTTTGTTCCAAGACAACTTTACCATAACTCATAGACTAGTATAGAATGCCTCGTGCTGATCTCTATCCTAGACTTATATTATCCATCTACATCTATATATATCTATGATCTATATCCATTTAAGCATCACATACATACGCCGAGCCTACCATGGATTCTTCCAATGAACAAATGCAATGGGATTGGAACTTTTCTTTAAACGGTTGATTCCTTTTGGGATTCTATCACAAATAATCTTAATGTTTAATGGAAGTCAATGGTTTCATATAAAGGGCTCCATATGAAATTGATACCAGGCGCTATTTGGATTTAAACCAAGTGTTTCAAGAATTAAAATGGAGAATTAACCTATACCGTTTTGTTTTTTCGTTTGCATTCGTATCCATTTTTTTTGTTAAAAATATTTTAAAAAGATAATTTTGCCCTTCTTTAATAAAAGACTATTAACAAACTGCAGGACAAAAACTTAAGCATGTTTAGGTTGAAGTTTTAGCAAATGAACTAAAAAACTTCAGCTTGTTTAGACTGAAGTTTCGTATAAAACTCAGGACAAAACTGTAGACTGCGTTACAAAACTTCAGCATGTTTTGATATGAAATTTTAGCAAATAAACAAAATAACTTTGGCATGTATTAGCAAAAAACTCTTTAGAAAATTACATACTACAAGGCAAAAACTTAACCATGTATAGTTTGAAGTTTTAGCAAATGAACTAAAAAACTTAAGTATGTTTAGTCTGAAGTTTTTGCAAATGAACTAAAACACTTAAGCATGTTTAGTCTGATGTTTTAGCAAATGAACTAAATTGAGTGCACCAGTGAGTCTCACGTACTACTGTCGTGAAACCTGTTTGAGTCCATATAAGGACTTTTATTTAATCTGCACACATGATTAATAGAAGGTGAAGTCAATCTTGGTGGAAATCTCATGTATACATCACCATGAAGAAAAGTGTTATTGACATCAAATTGAAATAATTTCTAATTCATTTTGACTACAAGAACTAAAATGCATCTAACAGTTGTCATTTTCACCACTGGAGTAAAAGTCTCACTGTAGTCTATTCCTTCTGTTGTCTTAAGTAAAGATTAGTTTTGAAGACTAACAAAGGTACTCGGGCATGAACTAGGTCCATCCCTCAGGTTCATAAAAACGGGCAGATTCGAGCATATGGGATGCATGTGAAGGAGATAAGCTTAACTTTGTGTATTTAATACCTCATGATCGAAAAGGTTTCATAATTGATAAGGAGAAGGACTCCTTAATCAAAGAGATTACTATCCAAGATAGGGAAAGAGTTAGAAGTTGAAATCAACTAGAAC